AGAACAACACATATTCTCCTTGATCTCCATACTGTGGGGAAGGGACAGGGGGTAGCTGGTAAAAGTCCCCACTGACAATCATTTGTACACCACCAAAAGGTTGGTCATTTCCCTTGACATGCCGCAATACACACTCTATTTGGTCAAATAATTTACAGCTAACAAGCGAAATTTCATCAATTATCAAAACGTTCACATCCAAAATATATCTACGCTTGCTTTCATATCTTTCATCGTGGTCAAATAAATTACACAACTCTGTGTTTGTGTACCGACCATCTAGTAAACCAAGAAATCTGTGGATAGTCACACAACTAATGTCTTTACTGGTAAGGGCCTCTCTGAGAAGAACGGCAGATTTCCCAGTACTTGAAGTAACTGTCACATTTTTACTTATTGATATAGTTTTAATGATATGTGAAAGCACAAAGGATTTCCCAGTGCCTGGAATACCTGTCAAAATTATATTGTGGCCAAGATTCGCATGCTGAAAAACTTCTGTTTGAAACGTATCCATAGCCACGTTTTTGGCGAACTTTTCAATACTCGGATGTCACTCACCTTAGATAAAAGTAGAGAACTTCCGAACAGAGTTTTATTCACTGCGGTCCTTTCATCATTTCCGGGTCAGGTTGAAGTTAATCATGGCGGTAAAACTGCAAATTCTCCGAAAAAGTGCTTGATTGGATGTATTAGACGAATGATTACACAATTAATCATGATGGATTACTTAATTACAATTCAAACGGAAGCTATCGCCGGAGATCCCTGGAAAAAATAGCGAAAGTAAGTGTTGAAAATCTTCATTTGAAATTTGGCGGTACCGGTAGTGCTCTGACGAAGCTTCTTCCCTTGTGTATGTGTATGTGTGTTGTGACCCGTATCAGTATAGCATATGTGTGATTGTAACGTGGCCCTGTGCATTGATGGACATAGTACACACATAATATGACACATGATGCAATTTATACAATAACAACCCATTTCAATAATTCTTTTAGCTTACCTACTTTAGATATTAAGTAGCTTCATTACTCTTTGTATAAATTTTCTTACTTTTGTTAAAAGTACCGTGTTACATATTGAGAACATTCCTTTTATTTTGATATAAGTTTGGTTGACATAATAATAATTTGGTATATAAAGTTGTTTAAGAGCTACAACAGATACATGAGTACATTGGTATAAGTAGTGGTATTCGTCCCCTACACAGTTATTACATAGTGGACATAACCTTTCCTCGCGTGGGACTCTATTCCATCTTCCTGTTTCTATAGGAAATTTTAAAGTTAATGTTCTAAATTTACATATTACTTTCCATTCATTATGATTAAGCTTTAAAAGATATGGTTCAATATTAAACTGATATTTGAATAAGAAGTAAACTTGCCCTCGCGAGGAGGTTTCAACATCACGAAACCAACTTTGAATGAATTGATCGCATAATCTCTGCTTAATGATAGTTTTCAAGCATTGTCTATATAAATGTACATGATGTTTGGAAAGTCCATAAATTATTAAATCCAGTATTGTTTAAAATATCTATATACGTTAACCATTTAAAACTTAATACAGAATTCTGGTGCAACTTGTACTTTAACTTATACATTACAATAAATAATTTCGATCCACCCGTTATAAGCTTATGCCAGAACATAACCATTCTAACAATGATTTCAATTTCTAGGGGATACCTTCCCAACTCACCATATACCATATCATTTGGGGAGCTCTTCCGAATGTTAAGAATTTCCTCACAAAACTGTAAATATATTTTTTCAATACTTTTTGTATTTTCATAGCCCCAGATTTCACATCCATATAATAAAATAGGTGACACAAGTGCATCAAATAATTTCAGTTGAAGATCTACAGGAATGGAAATATTTCTAATCTTAATATACAATGAATATAAAGCTTTTTTTGCTTGCTCTGTTAGTTTACTGTTGGCTTTGTAAAAACACCATTGTAGTTTAATATTATTCCAAGATATGGGTACAAATCTTATATTTTTAAAATCGCATTATTTAACGTGATAGTCTCTTTTACTTTTTCTTTTTTCAACAATCAAAACTTTAGTTTTTTGTGTATTAACTGTTAATTTCCATATATTACAATAATTTTGGGATTCATTCAATGCGTTCGGTAGGCCATCTGGTGTTTCTGACAAAAGCACTGTATCATCATCATATAATATAATAAACAATTTTAAGTACAAACCTACATTTTGATCACTAAGAGCATACACTTCATTCAAACAAGAAACATTTCGTTGATTGAGGAAATACTCTAGATCGTTAAGAAAGAAGGAAAATAATGTTATTATGAATTTGATATGAAAGATATATTTATTTTATATATAAAATACACGAGAAGATATCTAGTCCAGACATAGACCGCTGGTGAGTACGTTCTATGACTGGACTAGATATATTCTCGTGTATTTTATATATAAAATAAATATATCTTTCATATCAAATTCATAATAACATTATTGACAAATATCTATATTTCAAATAAAATAATTCCATGTAATTATTACATTTCTGCAAGTGAAATATCGTATTCTATCAACTCGATAAAACTGATATTTTTCACACTGTGACAAAAATCACTTTTTGTCATTTACCAATCATAACGGTATCTTCTAATCGCTGCATTCAACGGCAACGATATTTGTTTAGATTCAAATGAAGCGACGGTAGAATAAGTGGTTGTTATGGTAAATGTTTGGCACACGCACTTAAGAATTTACATAAATATACAATTATTAACATTTTTTATAAGCAATCACACCAGCTAATAGCAGAAACCGTAGGCATTTCGTTGAGTATCCTATTCAAACTGGCGCGCAGCCTTGTTGTCAAGCGTGACGTCATTAGCATAGCTAATTATTACACTTCTGATTTCCGCCCTTTTTTAATGCATTACATTTTTCATGTTTTATGCTTTAAAAATGTATTAGATAGACAATTTAATGGTGTCTTCAATAACAACAAATTTCATTGGTGCTGCGTACTCGTGAAAAATATCAAAAAATTAGCCACACGAGTGAAATAAATTTGTTATTACTGAAGACACCATCAAATATCCTCTATATATCCAATCTTTGCAGAGTTCGGTCTACTACACCAAGATATCGCCGAGCTATAGGAGTTGAGGGGGTAACACGTCGGGGTTCTAATGATAGAGCTTAGCTAATCGAATACTTTAAGCGTTAACACAGCGTCGTGTATATTTGTTTAATCAATTAGCAGAATGTACCAGTGCGTTTTTGTGTAAGATATTCTAGGGCAATTGCCAAACGGTGTGGAGCAAAAACCAAGCGCGTAGCTGCAGCTAGCTGCCATGTAAACAAATACAATCAAAATTCCTTATACATTGTATGGACTATTTAGTATCTTATCCAACAAATTTGAGCAAAAAGTATCAATAACAGAAGTATATAAGATTATTGCTTTCAAAAGCCTTCAGATAACGCCGCAGACCTACTAGATTTTCATTTTTCGGAGGGCGGGGGAAGTGAGGAGAGGGGGCCAGAATGTATGCATGTTTGCATGCACATCGTTTGCAGTCCAACTATGCATCTTGGTGGTACCTACAGCGAGTGCCGATATGCTGTATCTGTAGAATTTCATTTAATTTGACCCCTGACCTGCCCATTCGATCCATCAATACCCGAAACCCACTCATGCAAAGCCTCCATATAAAGGTGTTGACATATAAAAGCATCATACATGATATCTACACTCATGTAGGTGTAGACAAGCAACGGACCAGCCTAAGTGTTGAATAACATAATTGTATTGTTGATGATATTTGCAAAGTACAGTGTATAAGGCTATGCTTGGACCAAAAACGGTGTGTTTGGGGGCTATATTAGACGTTTAAGGAATGGATGTCAACACTCTAGACTCCCCCCTCCCCTCACAAAAAAAGACCAGGGTTTGTGCCATTTTTAAGAAAGGTTACAAATGTGCGGCAAGGAATTACTTTTATAAATTAATGGTACTTTGATGTATCGGTTATATTATTCATTCATGTTTCTGCGTTTGAGCATATTCTACCAAAAGAAAATATAATATCAGAATTTGTGAAGAATATACATGGCGATATCAGGTTTACATATTCTTGCTCTGATACTAAACATTTTTTTCAATATTTGAGTAAGGGTTAAAAAAATAAAGATACATTTGGTTTGCATGTGTGCGCACAAGGTAAAATACAGTATTTGTACAAAGATATTCTAACAAAGGAATATCGAAGTATGTATGTCATGTGCTTTGATTGAAGTAGGTTTACAGAATTGGCAAAAATAAATTACTGGGAATAAAACAATCTGAAAACATTTAAATTGGAAAATAGAAAACAACCAGCCTAAGTACAATTATAATAACTGGAAAGTTGTTGATAATATGTAACGAATAAGGAAAATGTAATTTTTAGCCTAACAAAATACATTTTATAAGTTTAGATATCACCAGATTCACTCAAGTGATCTATTACGATCACTTTTTGTCCGTCGTGCGTAAATGTTATCGGCTTCTCTGAACCAGACACTCGGATTCTGATGAAACTTGGTCTGATCAACAACATAAGGGGTACCAGAGTGCAAAACCTTCAAAAGACTTCCTTGCTATATTGAAGTATTGGTCATAGGCCAACATAGTTTCGGTAAGTCAACAAGACATATTTGGTTGTTTGTACTTTTACACTTTGTTACAAAACAACATCGCAAAATCAAGGAACACGTTGTTTGACTCTTTTCGTTGATTGTATTATTTTTTACATTTTAGATGTACTGTTTTCATAGAAAAACTGATCGAAAGATTGACATACTTTGGAGAGGATGACAAGACGTTACATTATGTGTACGTAAATTATTTTTTATCGGTAGTTTAATATAACACGTATTCTACATTTATCTGTGATGCTGTGATTGTGACACATTGGGATTTCCTTACTGCACTAACACCATTCCTCTTACACCAATATGTATATCATAAACACTTATTCCTGTCATTTGTTACTTTTACCTCAGTGTAACGACTATTTATATCGATAATACGACTTTTTGTCAAGTTTGTACGATTTAAATGATATATATATGGACTGTCTATATAGGGACCATAACACTGTCTATGTAGGGACCATTACACTGTCTATATAGGGACCATTACACTGTCTATGTAGGGACCATAAATCTGTCCATATAGAGACCATACCACTGGCTATATATGGACCATAACTCTGTATATACGGGGACAATAACACTGTCGATATAGGGACGATATCACTATTGAAACAAGAGCTGTATCTCTATGTATTTGTTGACCATAACTCTGTCTATTTAAATAGAAACCATAAGAACATCTACATACGAACATAACACTGTCTATATAGAACCCTAACACTGGATATGCAGAGACCATACCACTGTCTATATACATGTAGGGATTATAACACTGTTTATATAGGGACCATAACTTCGTCTATATAGGGACCATCATTTTGTTTAAATAGAGACTTTATAGCTGTCTAAATAGGGACCATAACTCTATCTATATAGGCACAATGGCCCTATTGAAATCGGGACCATAACACTATCTATATAGGGACCATACATTTGTCTATATAGGGACCATAACACTGCCTATATAGGGACCATAACATTGTCTATATAGGGACCATTACACTGTCTATATAGAGACCATTACACTGTCTATATAGGGACCATAACACTGTCTATGTAGGGACCATTACACTGTCTATATAGGGACCATTACACTGTCTATGTAGGGACCATGAATCTGTCCATATAGGGACCATAACACTGTCTATATAGGGACCATTACACTGTCTATATAGGGACAATTACACTGTCTATATATGGACCATTACACTGTCTATATATGGATCATTACACTGTCTATATAGGGACCATTACACTGTTTATATAGGAACCATAACATTGTCTATATAGGAACCATTACAATGTCTATATAGGGACCATTACACTGTCTATTTAGGGACCATTACTCTGTCTTAATAGACTTTATAACACTGGCTATATTGGGACCGTAACACTGTCTATATAGGGACCATAACACTGTCTATATAGGGACCATAACACTGTCTATATAGGGACCATTACACTGTCTATATATGGACCATTACACTGTCTATATCGGGACCATTACACTGTCTATATATGGACCATTACACTGTCTATATAGGGACCCTTAAACTGTTTATATAGAGACCATTACACTGTCTATATAGAGACCATTACACTGTCTATATAGGGACCATTACACTGTCTATATAGGGACCATTACACTGTCTATATAGGGACCATTACACTGTCTATATAGGGACCATTACACTGTCTATATAGGGACCATTACACTGTCTATGTAGGGACCATTACACTGTCTATATAGGGACCATTACACTGTCTATGTAGGGACCATGAATCTGTCCATATAGGGACCATAACACTGTCTATATAGGGACCATTACACTGTCTATATAGGGACAATTACACTGTCTATATATGGACCATTACACTGTCTATATATGGATCATTACACTGTCTATATAGGGACCATTACACTGTTTATATAGGAACCATAACATTGTCTATATAGGAACCATTACAATGTCTATATAGGGACCATTACACTGTCTATTTAGGGACCATTACTCTGTCTTAATAGACTTTATAACACTGGCTATATTGGGACCGTAACACTGTCTATATAGGGACCATAACACTGTCTATATAGGGACCATAACACTGTCTATATAGGGACCATTACACTGTCTATATAGGGACCATTACACTGTCTATATAGGGACCATTACACTGTCTATATAGGGACCATTACACTGTCTATATAGGGACCATTACACTGTCTATATAGGGACCATTACACTGTCTATATAGGGACCATTACACTGTCTATATAGGGACCATTACACTGTCTATATAGGGACCATTACACTGTCTATATAGGGACCATTACACTGTCTATATAGGGACCATTACACTGTCTATATAGGGACCATTACACTGTCTATATAGGGACCATTAAACTGTCTATATATGGACCATTACACTGTCTATATAGGGACCATTACACTGTCTATATAGGGACCATTACACTGTCTATATAGGGACCATTACACTGTCTATATAGGGACCATTACACTGTCTATATAGGGACCATTACACTGTCTATATAGGGACCATTACACTGTCTATATAGGGACCATTACACTGTCTATATAGGGACCATTACACTGTCTATATAGGGACCATTACACTGTCTATATAGGGACCATTACACTGTCTATATAGGGACCATTACACTGTCTATATAGGGACCATTACACTGTCTATATAGGGACCATTACACTGTCTATATAGGGACCATTACACTGTCTATATAGGGACCATTACACTGTCTATATAGGGACCATTACACTGTCTATATAGGGACCATTACACTGTCTATATAGGGACCATTACACTGTCTATATAGGGACCATTACACTGTCTATATAGGGACCATTACACTGTCTATATAGGGACCATTACACTGTCTATATAGGGACCATTACACTGTCTATATAGGGACCATTACACTGTCTATATAGGGACCATGACACTGTCTATATAGGGACCATTACACTGTCTATATAGGGACCATTACACTGTCTATATAGGGACCATTACACTGTCTATATAGGGACCATTACACTGTCTATATAGGGACCATTACACTGTCTATATAGGGACCATTACACTGTCTATATAGGGACCATTACACTGTCTATATAGGGACCATTACACTGTCTATATAGGGACCATTACACTGTCTATATAGGGACCATTACACTGTCTATATAGGGACCATTACACTGTCTATATAGGGACCATTACACTGTCTATATAGGGACCATTACACTGTCTATATCGGGACCATTACACTGTCTATATATGGACCATTACACTGTCTATATAGGGACCGTTGCACTCTCTATATATGGATCATTACACTGTCTATATAGGGACAATAACACTGTCTATATAGGGACCATTACATTGTCTATATAGGGACCATTACACTGTCTATATAGGGACCATTACAATGTCTATATAGGGACCGTTACACTGTCTATATAGAGACCATAACACTGTCTATATGGGGACCATTACTTTGTCGATATAGGGACCATTACTCTGTCCTGATTGACTTTATAACACTGGCTATATTGGGACCGTAACACTGTCTATATAGGGACCAGAACGCTGTCTATATAGGGACCGTTACACTGTCTATATAGAGACCATAACACTGTCTATATGGGGACCATTACACTGTCTATATAGAGACCATTACTCTGTCCTGATACACTTTATAACACTGGCTATATAGGGACCATAACCCTGTCTATATAGGGACCATTACACTGTCTATATATGGAACATTACACTGTCTATATAGGGACCTTTACACTGTTTATATTAGGACCATAACACTGTCTATATAGGGACCATACCACTGTCTATATAGGGACCATAATACTGTCTATATAGGGACCATTACACTGTCTATATAGGGACCATTACACTGTCTATATAAGGACCATAACACTGTCTATATAGGGACCATAACACTGTCTATATAGGGACCATAACACTGTCGATATATGGACCATTACACTGTCTGTATAGGGACCATAACATGTCTATATAGGGACCATTACACTGTCTACAAGGGCCCATAACTCTGTCGTTGAAGGACATCATGGCACTGTCTATATAGGGACCATAACTCTGTCTATATATGGATGATAACCCTATTCAAATAGGAATCATACCTTTGTTTATTTGTTGACCATGGATCTGTCTGTCTAAATATGAACCGTAACATTATCTACATACCAACGATAACACCATTCATATAGGAAACATAGCACTGTCTATGTAGGGACCGTAACTCTGTAAATATAGGGACAATAACACTGTCTAAATAGGAACAATAACACTATCTACAATGGAGCGATATGGTACCTTTTGATATACCTAGTATTTTAACATTAATCATATGTTGTAGATTTACAAACAATATAGACTTACCGCCACCAAAGCTAAAGAGGGCAGCAATTACTGGATCACAACCGTAAGTTTTGTACTTTGAACAAAGTTACTTCTCAAGATTACAACTGTAAGTTTGGTACTTTTTGTACGTTTGTAAGTTGTAGGTTACTTATCGTATGATCAAACAGTTTAGTTGGAATGTGTCGAATATATTATTAGCATGAACTTAATACAAGAACCCAAGATACACTCTCAACTATAACTGGATCTTACACTTAAACCGTAGATAAAAAGCAAAAAGAGAACTTTCTATTTTTGTTAAATCTTTCTTGAATGTCTTTAAAATCTCTTTGTTTTGTACTAGTGACACAAATGTTGAGAACAGATACTGTTACTTGTTGGGTCCTCTTAATGTCTTTCCTCAGTGAAATTGTGAAAGGATTTGGCAAGCGCATTACATTCAATAATTCCATATATAATATCCTCTTTTCTTACTTAGTTGAGATCTAGCAGAATGAAAAAATGTGTGTTTCAGGCACAGGCAAAATGTTGGCATTAAATGTAGGAATGTATGTAAAAAACACACAAGAAAATACATGAGTGAAAACATACCGGTAATTTGACACCAAACATATTGATGAAACTAGGGGAAAATATGGAATAGGGAGAAACATACATGTGAGACAGTTCCTTGGGAATACGCCTAAAAGTTCCAGAAGAGAACGCGTTCTCTGCTTAATCGACGACACGTGCATCTTTGTCAAAATCCTTGTAGTACCACGGTTTTAATGATGGAGCCGGGGTAGAAGAATTAGACTAATGATTATAACCAAAACGTCGATATTCATATTTCACAAGAAAATAGATATTCCAATCAGATTATACTTGCTACCATGACATTTTCTCATTAATTTTTCCTCAGCTTTCGACAGAGGGCTGTTTTGAGTAAATCCTTTACTATCGAGTATTTAGGATATAAAAATACAAATGTTGATAAATACATACATATCTCTTTGCGTTTCGTTTTGCAAAATATGTTTCATTAAACGTTTATATGTGTTATGTTAAGGCGAGTCAATTCTTCTATATATCAATTGCATTGAGCGATTTAATATTTTTGTAAATAGAATGTTTAAAAGCATCAAATTTCTATACAGAAAAATACTTTGTTCAACTTTAAAAAAATATATAAATAGCGGAAACCGGTTGAAGGGTCAAATGGATTTTTAATAACGTAGGCTTTTAAACCGACCACTAGCTTTATTTTAGCCACGGAGACCATCAACAGACATGAAGACTACTTTTTTCTCCCACAATCACTTAAGTTATCTAACTTCCAGCTCATTGGATAAACCTACTAAGGGGTGGTAAAAATGTTTGGTTATTTACCGTTGAATAACACCGGTACCATGGACGTTATTTCATTGGTCAATCTTCTAATAAAGACATCAAATAACAATGCTTATGGACGTTATCTTTTATTGTGACGTTGTAGGAGAAAAAAGTCTCCAAACATGTTATGGTTTTCTGTCCTGTTTATATAACTCTCCTAAGTTAAGTTTCAAATTGTGAAAGATAAAACCCGTGTCTTTATACAATTTGCAAATTTACTTACTTGAGTAAGATAAAGATGATAACCAACAATCACTCATATAATATTAGAACATATCTATAATACACTTATTTATTTATTCCTTATGATAAACATGTAACTACACTACACATCATATAACTACAAAACGTAAAACATTTAACGTATGGGTAACCATTCCAATGTTTTTAATGATAAGCAATATAAATCTAGTTATACTTCTGACCGCCATTCAAACATTTTGTAAACTGCATAAGTCTAGCACATCACTTTCCGTTAGATGGCAAATCTGTTCATGAAAAATTACAAATAGTTAATAGTGTGGACGTGGACGAATCAAACAGGCTGACAAAAGAACTTGCGGCACTCCAAAAGAAACTGTGAGTATATGCATTTCTGTTCAAACGCACGAAAGGGAAATTGAAGTGTTGACGTATCCCTCGCTGATAATTTATATTTTATACGACTAATGTGTTTCGGAATTTCAGTACAATGTACTTGACTGGCGTTAAAGAAATGGAATACTAACAAATTTTGAATAAAATAAGAGCAATTATAAAGTTCTTAAGCCAAAACAACCCCTCTTGTTTTTAAATATTTACATAGTTTCAATAGATAAAATGACCAAGAAATAAATATGAAAAATAATCATCGACAGTGTGCTGAATGATACAATTTAGCAAGACTAGACCGGGATTCGAACTTCGGACCGTGGTTTTTAGGTTGTTATACTATTGCTCTAACCCGACTGAGCTACCTGGTTGACGGAAGTATAGTGTCAAACCGTGCTGTAGTCATATCTGAAACGAATTTAAGTGGATGTGTCTATGTATATACATAGACTTTTTACTGTACAGTTGCACGAACTATATTACATTTCCCTCTTAACATATATGGATATTTCATTTGTATCTCTTTTTATCTTACAAAGACGACTTTATAACCACATTTCATAATCAATGCGTAGCTGGTTCATGTTTGTTGTTTGTTTGTTTGTTTATGTTTAACGGCCCATCGACGGCTGTGGTCATTTAGTGCCATGGTGATTTATTTATTTATTTTACTTTTTTAACAAACATGTGAATAGCGAAGATAAAATCAGATAAAATGGTTCATTTTAAAAGTATTCGCATTGTATGTGTAGATAATAAAAAATAATAAAAGGGGGTTAAAATAATAAAAGAGATAACGAATAGATGATATGGAATATGCGATATATATATAACGTCAAAAATGATAAGGTGGATTAAAAGACAAATAGACCGATGTCTTTCAAAAAGTTAAATAATGCCTTCGAATCCACGGAACTGAAAAGTGTTTTCATATCCGGGACTCGGAAGTAGTTATCACGAATGTGTTTAAAATCGGAACATTCTATTAAAAAATGCTCCACTGTAAATGGAGTGTCACATGCGTGGCATGAAGGTATATCTTCTCGTTTTAAAAGGTACGAATGAGTAGGATATGTGTGCCCAGTGCGGAGCCGAGCGAGGACAACTTCCTCTCTACGATCTTTCCGACTGGGAATAGATGTTTTAAGTTTCGGTTGTATCTTAAAAAGTTTGTTGTTGGTCTCCAGAGACCAGCGTTTCTGCCATTCATTTTGAATGGCTGTACGAATAGTAGGTTTAAAATCTGTGTATGGTAGTTTGATATTTGTTTGTTCGAGATTCAATGCATTTTTTGCTTCCCTGTCAGCAAATTCGTTGCCTTTTATTCCGACATGGCTCGGAATCCATAGTAAAGTTATTTTAGACTTTTTTAATATACGAGATATTCGAAGAGCAAGGTTTTGTACGATTGTGTTTTTAGGATCTCGTAACTGTAAACTCTGTAGGACAGATAGAGAGTCTGAACAAATAATTGCCTTTTTAATGCGGTGTTCATCGATATGGTCGAGGGCCAAACCAATGGCGCATGCTTCAGCAGAAAAGATGGAGGCGCCGTCTGGTAGTCGGACTGAAGTGCAAGTATTGGCAGTACAGCAGGCTGCTGCCACTTTCTCACCTTCTTTGGAGCCATCGGTGTAAAGTTGTGTATGAGAAGGGTAATTCGAAATGCATTCCCGAAAGGAGGATTTGTGTTCTTCGGGCATAACACTTGATTTCCCTCGCTCATGTAATGTAAAGTTAAAATCGGGGGTTTGAATGGTCCACGGAGGAACATCAGATATGTTAAATTCAGCTATGTCCGTCAATTTTATGTTGAGTTCTTGCAGGAAATTCAAAATTCGGATACCAAATGTTGGCAGAAGTTTTTGGTTTTGCGTAAATATGTTTTGGTATTTGGGGTTGAATACTTGGTTGAAAGCAGGATTTTTAGGGTTTGATTTTAATTGAGTTGCAAATTGTAATGAAAGTTTTATTCTTCTGTCATAAAGGGATGGTTCATTTGCTTCCACGTACAGGCTTTTTACAGGTGTTGTTCGAAAAGCTCCCAGGGCAAGACGTAGCCCTTGGTTATGGATTGGATCTAGCATCTGAAGGTACGAACTGCGCGCTGACCCGTATACCATAGAACCATAATCCAGTTTTGTTCGAATAAGTGATCTGTATAGGCGCAAAAGCATTTCACGATCCGCTCCCCAATCAGTATGAGAAAGGACTCGTATAATGTTTAACGCCTTGGAACACTTATCCTTCAGATACTTTATATGTGGTATGAAAGAGAGTTTCGAATCAAAAATGAGGCCGAGAAATTTAGTCTGTTCAACAACAGGAATTCTAGTGCCATCGAGTGTTAGATTTGGGTCATTGTGTGCTTTTCGTTTTTGACAGAAATGCATGCACACAGTTTTGGATTTAGAGAATTTGAAGCCGTTTTCGTCTGCCCAATTTTGTAGTTTGTTTAAACTCTGTTGAAGTTGTCGTTCTATCGTGTGCATGTTCTTAGATCTGTAACAGATCAAGAAGTCATCCACAAATAGCGACCCTTCTGTTGATTGACCAAGACATTTGACTATATCATTTATTTTAAGTCCAAACAGTGTGACTGATAGGATTCCACCCTGTGGGACTCCCATTTCCTGTTTAGACGTTTCAGAAAAAGTTGAACCAACACGGACTTTGAAGTGTCTATCTGATAGGTAATTAGATATAAAATTGGGAAGGTTTCCACGTACGCCAAGGTCGTGAAGATCTTTCATGATGCCATACTGCCATGTAGTATCATAGGCCTTCTCAAGATCGAAGAACACAGCGACAAGGTGTTCTTTCTTGGCGAAAGCCTCTCGAATGAACGTCTCTAATCTGATGAGATGGTCATTTGTCCCTCTTCTATTTCTAAAGCCACTTTGAAGAGGGGATATTATATCGTTGGCCTCAAGAAACCAAACCAGTCTAGTGTTTATCATTCGTTCTAAAGTTTTACATACACAACTAGTCAGAGAGATAGGACGATAGTTGTTTGGGTCAGTAGCATCCTTTCCCGGTTTTGGGATAGGTATAATTGTGGAGTTCTTCCACGAATCGGGAATCTTTCCGGAAGCGTAAACTTGGTTGAATATGTAAAGAAGGCATGTTAGTGAAGAGTCCGGTAAGTGCTTTAGAAATTGATATGGAATATCATCAGGACCTGAAGCAGTGTCCTGTGATTTTCTAAGCGAATCAACAAGTTCTGGTAGGGTAAATTGTTCATTATAACTTTCTTTGTTTGATGATTTGAAATTGAGCCGTTTCTTTTCTCTCTTTTTTTTCAAAGACTGGAATTTTTGGGAGTGGTTTAGAGGGGATGAGTTTTTAGCTATGTTTTTTGCAAATGCATCAGCAATTTCAGTTATAGACGAGAAAATTTTGTTTTTATTAATGAGGTGGGAGGATGTTGCCTTTTTCTTTTTCCCACTTATTTTCCGAATCATATCCCATACTTTTTTTGAGGACGTGTTTGATGATATCTTGGATACATATTCTCTCCAGCTGTTTCTTTTGTCAATTTTAATTGATCGCCGAGCCTTTGCCCGCCAAATTTTAAATTCACTGTAGTTTGAAGCAGTTGGGCAATTGAAGTAGCGTCTTAGAGCAGCTGCCCGATTACTGCGTGTTTTAAAAGATTCTTCAGATAAAAGGAACTTCGTAGGTTTTGGAGCGGATTTTGGAATTGTCTTTTGGGCAATAGAAGTGAGTGTTTCAGTAAAAGTTTTGATAGGGTCGTCGAGGTTAGTAAAATTGTCTATGGTTAGTTTTTCAATGCACATGTGTTGGAATTGGGCCCAATCTGCTTTGTGCATATTCCATCGAGGTAGAGGATCATCAAGAGGAGTCCCAATATTCTGAAGAAAAATTGGGAAGTGGTCACTCCCACAAAGATCATCATTTACCCTCCAGTCATAGTCAAGTAAAATGGATGGATGGCATAATGATAGATCAATGTGGGTACGAGAGCCTGTAGCAGGGTGTAAATAAGTAGGGGTATTGTTGTTAAAAAGGCACAAGTTGTTTTTATCTATAAATTCCTCAATACGTCTTCCTCTCTCGTCTGTGTTGGGAGAGCCCCACAGGCTATTATGACCATTAAAATCACCGAGGATTATGAATGGTGTTGGGAGCTGGGAGACGAGATTATTGAGTTGCTCACAAGTGAAAACAATACTCGGAGGGAGATAAATTGAACAGACAGTTATTTGTCGGTGTAATGTTGCACAGACAGCAACAGCCTGTAAATTTGTGTTTAACTTGATCATTCTGTGAGGAATATTTTTATGGACAGCTACCGCTGCGCCACCTGCTGCTCTGCTAACTACAGTTGGAATATTAGTGTAGAGTGAGAAATTTCTAAGCGTGATTGGGTTTTTGAGCATGATTTCTTGAAGACAAAAAATGGCGGGTCTAAATTCTTTTGATAGATTCTGAAATTCTTCTATATTTGCCTTTAATCCGCGGATGTTCCATTGGATAATTGTGTTATTTATCTTTTGTTATTTTGGCTGGATTTCGATGGAGTTGAAGCACGAAGCGCGGAGGCATTCGTCTCCATCTCATCATCGAAATCTAGTAGGACATTGAACCGGTTTGTCGGGTCCTCTGATCCTTTGCCAAAGGTGACATTCAGATCCGGTCCTTCGGATTTGCCCCTCGCTATTTTAATTTTTTTCCTAGGTCTGTTGGTGGGTGATGTTGTCTCTGGTTTCAGTTGGGATCGAGGAACAGATGTGAGTGAGCGAGATCGCTGCGAACGCACATGTGCCCTAGATGTGCCAACCTTTGGAGGGTTTTCTCCTGAAGAGGAAGGTGTTTTTGATGGTGGTGCTGGTTTTGATTGTGGTGCTGGTTTTGATGAAGGTGCTGGTTTTGATGAAGATGCTGGTTTTGATGGTGATGCTGGTTTTGATTGTTTGCTGTTTTTGGTTGGTTTTCGAAAAGTCGTGAAACGGGATGGGTCCCCCGTGAGGATTTTCAAGTTCTGTTGACCAGCCATGTCTGGGACTTGTGAGCCCCAGGCAGGTATGTCTTCAGAAACTTGAACCGAAGCATCCTTGACCGTGACACTGTCAACCGGCGCCTTGCCTCGAGTCACTTGTGCGTAAGAGGGTGTAGCAATGTCTGCACTCCCGACTATCCTCCTGGCCTCGGGGAAAGAGACACCTCGGGTATATTTAACCCGTAATATCTCCCTCTCCTGGCTCCAGGTAGGGCAGTCGCGAGAAGAGGCAGCGTGCTTCCCCTCACAGTTGACACAGCGCAGGTTGGCGATGTCACAGTCATTTTGCTCGGTGTGACCCTCACGGCCACAATACTGGCAGATCGATTTTCGTCTACATCGCTTTTCGTGATGACCGTACTTCTGACAGTTTCGGCATCGCAATGGATTTGGGATGTAGACGGAAACGTTGTACCTCTCGTATCCGATTGTTAGTATATGGGGTAGTGTTGGCGTTGAAAAAGTGATGATGAAGGTGTTTGTTTTGATAGTATCATTGTTTCTCCTGATCACCATCCGCCTCACCTCAGAGACCGGGACGCTCTCCTCCTGGAAATATGCCAGTATGTCTTCATCGGTGTCATTGCGCAAGGCTGGGCACCTGATTACCCCCTTGCTGCAATTAAGTGATGAGTGTGGTTTCACACTGACACTGATGCCGGCAAAACTGGTTGTTCCGAGTAGGTTCATCGCTGGTTCATGTATATGAAATGATATACCATGGAAATAAGTAGGAAATCAAAAGAAATGCATGTTTTTTATGATGCACATAGTTTATATATAAGTTCATAACCATGACACGAAACCCCTTAAAAATAACATTTATATCACGTCTAGACGTATTGTATATATGCATTGCGATACTAATGTTTTCTTTTTAGAAATAACGCATTACTGAATTTGGGACATGATATTAAATTATGGACCTTTTGAGAATACATAGGTCAATGTAATGACTTGCACCTATTGCGACATCATTATATAAACATATTTTACCTAACGATGTTGTTTTGTGTTAGTTTGAGCTAGTTTGTGATAACAATAGAGTTACTATCTCTCCATTTTGGGTTGTCTTATTGACCGTTTCACGTTTGGTCATCTAAAATTAAATTAATTTTTTCTTCAAATCTATGTCAATGTTTAAACCCATGTTCACGTTTAGATCAATGTTAAAGTTTAAATCTATATCTCGATATTCGTCATTATTTTGTAGGATTATATTGTTATTGCTTTATCGTAATGACGCTTGTTTGCATAAAGGAGCGTAGATATAATATTCGACGTTTTAGAAAAGAAAAAAAGGAAAAAAAATGTTTATTCATGGAATTTCGGTAGCACCTGCTCCATATGTTTTTTCCTATAGTAGTTCACTGATGAAATACATATAATTGTGTCGCCTACTTCATTTCGTCAAGCATATTTCAGACGATTGGTATGGTTTGCTTCCAGGGAGGAAATCACAGCTCTACAGGAAGAAAAGGCAACTCTGGAGTCAAAAGTGTACGTAAACAGAAAACAAATACATCGAATGGATTTCAAAACTATTGTTATCTTTTCTGACATTAAACAGACTTTGTGAAAGTATATATTCATCAATAACAACAGTTGCTGCTGTTGGGGAAATGTTTCGGTGTTTGGATGATGTTTCATCCGAATGGCGTTTTTGTTTTCACGATTTAGAATAGTAAAATACTATATATATGTAGTTTGCTGGAATACAGAGATGATGAAATGAATGATAGAAAGAAATAATGGATGTAAAACATTTATACTTAATATTGTTTAAATACGAACATCTCTATTCAACTAAACGTAAACGGTTTAATATGATCACAATGTTATACATATATCACCAGGGAGAAGAAAACAAAAGAAATGGATCAATTGTTGATGGATATATCAGAAACCACTAATCGTACGCTCAAATGTACAATGTATGTGGTTACGTACAGCACGACATTCAGGAAGAGACTTTGAATAAAATTCAGGAAAAAATGCGACTCGTAAATCAGCCATGCATATCAACTAAAACCGATAATGGTCAGGGGAATTTCTATCCGTTAAAATAACTGTTGATGCTTTTTAATTCAGTATTCTATAAAACAAAAGACATAGAAGTTATTTTTGTTAATTTTTTAGAGTGCTTCTTTTAATAAGCAAGAGACTTAGGTGATGACGTTAGGTCTGAATCGTATGTTATTTCTTTCTTTTAACTGAATTGCATTAATTCGCTTTAAAGGTAGCATGATCAGTAAACTAATTGAAAAACTCCCACAAAGATTAAAACAAGTGTCGAGTAATGACATTTAAACTGTTAGTGTTTCTAAATCGTGTTTATTTACATAATTTTGACGTGGAACTAGTTTGAATGTCACCAATATTCATTATTTAGTGAACATTGATACCGATAGGCGTGTGGCTATATAGGTTTGCCTTTCATTTTCTTACTGATTTTGTCAACGATATATAGCAGTTTATTCTTTTTTTTTATCATACGTTTTATTAAATCAATTTAAGGGCAACAAGCCCACTGGAAGATGCTGTAGTCACTCAGAAGTTCAACCCCCTGATAAGTCATGTTCAAAGACCTCAATTAAAAATCGGAAATTATATATGTTATTTGTATATATATAACTTGTACATTGGCTATACACAAAATACATAGCCAGGTTAACATAATAAAAAATAAGGGCATTAAAGCTGATGTCTTCATCAAAATTTATATGTATACCTAGGTCATGTGGGGCTTTATTTCTCTTCTTTAAGACGAATTCCGAATTTAAATAAAGATAATTGTTGCCATGCGAAACCACTAAAATCATAGTAAAATCCCCTGGTAATACATTTTAGCAATTTATAAATAAGAAAACAAAAGGCTAAGTAACCTTGATCGATAAATGATCTTTAGATGATGTGCCATTTTATAACATTCTGTCATTATATGAATGCGCTAAACATGTTATAAAAATTGAAGCTAAAGAGTACAATAATGTTTATAACCAGAACAGCTCTATTATAAAAACATTGAATATTAAGAAAGAACATTTAATATGAAGTTTAAGTAGTGTTTATGGTCAAAGGTATATTGTTTTACACATTTCTACCGGTAAAATATGATACACGGACGTTTTACTATGATTTTTGTACTTTCCCATAGCAACATCTTCTTGTGAGCCCAGTATACCTCTCAACACATCGTTAAAGAGAACACAAGCCGCATGACCTAAGTATATAAATGATCTTCAAATAACATGTCATTTCGGAACATTCAGTTGGGTAGCTTAAGAGATTGATTCAAATTACATTTATTTATCATTTTTATCAAGTTTTGATAAATGTATCAGAATATGACTTGTCAGGGAGTTGAACTTTAAGGTGACTATTACATCTTTTAGGGGGCTTGTTGAACCTTAAAGTATCCTATAACTTTGCCTGTAATTCACCTTTTGAGATCGGTTGTCGATACCTGTTGTTCTAATTTATTTTCTCTACGAGGGATTTTCTTTATGAGATTTTCAGTCGTTTAAGACAACGAATAAAATAATAATATTGCGTAATCCGAAGCTATACAGTAATTACATATTTGGCATGTTAACCACTGTTATATATACAAGTATGTACTATATTTTAATGTAGAATTATGTTTAAACAAGGCAAGACAATTCATTGACCCCCACCGATAATGATTTATATATTTTAAAATATTGTACACTTATGTCCGGATGTTCTTACTGTTAGGAAAGTATCCTGATACATTATACAACATTAAATCTTTCTTATTGTAAAATTGTTTTGTTGTAGAAGAAACAGAAGAGGTTTGTAATATGGTTCCCTACAGTATCAAGAACGCATAGATTCTGATAGCTTAGTTTGTGAAATAAAAAAATAAGCAGAGTAATGGAAATGTGTTCACATCAATAATGTTTTCACAGAGTCTGGTTACTCCAGGTAAAATAGTATAAAAATATACTCCGGTCGAGGTAAATGTCAAAGGTCAATTCATAGGTCACAGTCACTAAATTCTTGCACTGTTTACTCCGCAATCCTAAGATGTCCTTCTACACCAAATCTAGTCAATCCTGGTGTAATAGTAAGATATGCCCCAGCCAAACATTTGCAAAAGTAAAGGCCAAAGGTCATGTCATGGGTCACAGTAACATTATTCTTAAACGTTATTCTTCTTCTTCTTCTTCTTCCACGGGTCGATCAGAAATCCAATATTGCCGCCAGAGCCGCCATTTTGAAAAACTATTTCAAACTTTAAGTCAGGTTCTAATTGGCCGATTGAACTTAAACTTGGTAGTAATAATCGACTCATGGTCCTGACCAAGTGTTGTTATTTGTTGGATTGATCAGATTTCCAATATGTTCGCCACGGCCGCCATTTTGAAAAACTATTTCAAACTCAAATGCAAGTTCTACTGGGCGTATTTATCTGAAACTTGGTAGGAATAATCAACTCATGGTCCTGACAAAGTGTTGTTATGTTTTGGGTCGATCAAAACTCCAATATGGCCTCCATGTCCGCCATTCTGATAAAAACTATTTCAAACTTAAATTCAATGTCTACTGGGCGGATTTAACTGAAACTTGGTAGGAATGATTGACTCTTGGTCCTGACAAAGTGTTGTTATTTGTCGGTTCGATAAGAAATACAATAAGGCCGCCACAGCCGCCATTTTGAAAAACTATTTCAAACTTTAAATCAAGTTCTACTGAGTCGATTTGACTTAAATTTGGTAGGAATGATCAAGTCATGGTCCTTACAAAGTGTTTTTTCCGTGCTGATAAAACAATCCAATATGGCTGCTTCAGCCGCCATTTTGAAGAAAAACTATTTCAAACTTAAAAACCAAGTTCTAATAGGCCGATTTAACTGAAACTCGGTCTAGGAATAATCAACTCATGGTCCTGACTAATTTAACTTAAGGTTATTCTTAAATATGTTTTATTAAAATTGGTAGGGATGATTAACCTCAATATCTCCACTTCATATTTCGACAACAAAAATAAATAATGTAGGACTCAGGTGACCGTTAAGGCCTATGGGCCTCTTGTTACAATTTGTATGATATCTCTTCATCAGTTCAATATCGGATAATTATCTGTTCAGTTATAAATAAAGTACTCAACCAATTATTATATTGTAACATCTCTAGAGGGAAAAGAGTGGAGGTACAAGTAGAACAATTGCAGAGAGAGAAGTCAGATCTTACAAAGGACAAGTATGTTCACAATGTTACTTTATCTTGATAATGAAATCTGTTATATCATTCCTGAATTAGTAACAAGGATGTAAATGTGATTTCATATCATTGACTTAGACTGCAGAACACATTTAGTAGATGTAAGATTCCTGATACGAAAGAGAAATCAGCTTATGTGTTGTTACAATGTGGTACTCAACGTCATGCGAAGGTACAAGTACATTGGTCGATGTTCGACTTCTGAACCAATAGATAGATCTTCTGTTTCTTTTGTTGTATGAAAATAATAATACACACGCATTGTATTATATATACTTATGGAGCGTTGATAGTGTTCCCGTTGAAACTGTTTAAAACATGTATTTAAACGTTTTATAGTTGATTGTTGGGATGCATATCTAGCCATCTCATGTCGTTTACGCATAATGATTGTCATGGAATTGTTGTGTTTCCAGCGAGAAGCAGAGAGAGACATTGAAATCGCTTCAGAAAGAAAATGCAGAACTGAAAACAGAAATGTTCGTAAGCTAAAACTAATTACATGGAGGGAATATAAAAGAGTACCGGTAACATGTCTGGCCATTAACAAATTGAAAAAGCCCGACATATTTCTTCATTTCTGTTATCAATTAAAAGAAAGAAAATATTCGAAGAACAGAGAACAGTTCGTACATTTATTTGTATTTAGTTAACTGGGATGTAGAACTCGAGAGTCTGGTAAACTGGTAAACTAAAACATGATACTGCATTATAACGTCCTACAATGCTTTTAATCGCCCAATCAATCAATACATACATGTATAAATACTGCAAGTTATATAGAATATTGACCATCATCAATGTATTTGCGCTTTTGGGGTGAAGTGAACAGCAACAGATTGATGTCACTAAACGTAAAAAGTTAACGGTTCGTTAAAGCATTGTACTAATTAGGTACTCAAAAGAAATAACGGTGAATTTACAGTCAGGAAAAGAAGAAGTTGATTTTCAGCAAAACAGGTATGTGATGCAGCAAAACATTTTATATCCCGTATAGAGGTTGTTCCTCTTGGTTTGATGCATCTTTTCCCGTTCTTTGTGCATGTCGTGTTGGATATGTCAGGTAGATAAATGTACATCGAACGCATAGAGGAATGGAAAGCATTCAAGTGTTTTTGTTTCTGTTTTTTGTTATTTATTATTTGTCTTTTTTAATGATTTCTGTATTTTTCTTTTACTTCATACAATTTTGCCCTTTTGTTTGTTAACATAACTATTACTATTAAGGAATGGAGCGCAGCTAACTGACAACGACCCTGCAATCGCAGACCTCAGTGATCCAACCCGTCCCTTGAGTCTCGGAGAAAAGTTTTCCGATTTGTATGATAATGAATGGACGGACGCAATGGAGGAGATGACAGATATAATATCAGATGAGACAAAAGTAATAAAACTACTACTGGAGATTGTGTGTGTAAGTATGTATGTGATTTACATATGTATTGATATCACGTGATACAAGTACTACCACGTATTGTTTGTGTAAATATGTGTGTGAGTTACATCGATCTATATTTGTATCACGTGATACAAGTACTGTGTATGAGTTACATCTGTATAGTTATCACGTGATACAAGTGCTACTTCGCATTGTTTGTGTAATTTTGTGTGTGAATTACATCTGTGTTTTTATCACGTAATACAAGTTCTAATACGTACTGCTTGTGTAGATATTTGTGTGAGATATATTTCATTAGAAAACGTGTTACAAAAACGTCTTGAAGTACAATCAGGGAACTCTTTACAAACAAAAAACCGCATTGTGATTTTTAACTTAATTTAGAAAACTATTTCATAGGATACCAGGGACATTGTTTGACGAACATAAAGCTTTAGGAGCGTTGTCGAATAGACGAAATAAAAGAACCGATTCCCTCTCTACTTCCTTGGTCGTGAAAAAGCTCTATTAATTTTGGATTATTTAGTAACTAAGAATTTCTTTTTATCAGGTAACATATTTTTAACTCATTTGTAAGTTCCAACAAGAAAAAATAGAAAATAAACAAAATCTAATCGAATCCTGAATACTACGCTTTCAGAATCCTAAACAAATATTGGAATTGTAAACACGCTTTTTAATTTGTCAAAATAGGATGCGTACAAGTTTTGCTTATACAGAGCAGATCGTTTCATGGATAAGATCAACAGGACTCTTAGTGGATTCTCTGAGGAGCTCAGCTCATCTGAGGTGAGTTACACAACCGAATAGAGACAAACTAATGGTAGCGATTGTATCATTCAATTGTATATACTACACACTTTCGAACATGCAAAAGTACAATCCCGAATAAACGTTTTGAGGCGCTTCACTCAGCAAAACATGTAGTGTAAGGTAAATGTCTAGTAACCCGAGTTTAGTTTCAATCAGTGCTGTACTTTAAGGAGTAGGGCAGACATTTTTAAACATCGGAACATTACTCTATAATAAGGGGACGTTAATCAAAACGTATACCATATAAAATTCAGACAATGTAAATGTTCTGTGTACGAAGTATCATTCATATTGATGCAGTATTTTGGAAGAAGTAGAAGTAGCAAAAGAAAAGACTGTGCTGACTACATCAGTTGCATTTCATTAAAAGCTGAACACAGCAGGAGAAGTTGTGCAACCAAGAATGTGTACAAATAAAATGTGAGAAATATTCATACAGTACATATAGCAAAACAATAGCAATAACAAGAACTTTTTAAGGATGGATAGTCAAAAAAGGGCAGCTTTTTGACATGAACACTATCTATAGAAAAGGAGTTGTTCATTAAAATGAAAAAAAATGAGATTTCTATTCTTTGAAGGTTTGAAATAATTGCAATGTAAAAAGTTTGTTTAAAAATAATGAAAAAAACAGTTACAATAAGATAACAATTGTTTTCTTAATGTTTGAAAGACTTTGCATATATTGATCTTATAAAAAGGGCTATAGTTGCTTAATATCGTAGGAGTTCTAATCAATGGCATAGGCAAATAAAATTAATAATAACTGAACAAAATACACACGACCAGAATCCAGAGGATAGAGAGTTTGTCACATAAACATTGTGAAAATTGTATTGAACATTTTGAAAAAAAAATGAAATTTGAAAATGTAGTAGGTCTGATTGTATTTTGCAACATGAATTTTGAATGTGCATGGTTGACATTGGACTAAACATTGCACAAACAATCTAATTTACTTCATCATTTTCCTATATATCCTGCTCGTAGTGTATTTGTTTACACAACATAATTATTTTCTACTTCTAAGCAGGGAATATCTAGTTTTTGCTAAAATTAAAGAAAGTATACTTAGAACAGCTATGCTTCATTGACATACATATTTATATAAAATAATGAATGAATATTCACATGTGTTTCGCTGTTGACTACAATATTCCATGTGTGCAGCCGATATATAATGATACTTGATACTTTATTACTGATATCAACATGCTCGACGTTCTCGCTGTTTTTAATGGAATTATTGTTTAACATGTATTGAGGTTATGTCGCATATCACAATATTGGATGATGGACAAATATAGACGTATACATGTGTATACTCAACAGAGGGTTATGGCAGTAATTATCAAAGTGTCATGACAAATGCAAAATTTCAAATTGTGGAATGAAATAATGAGTTTTGACAATTACATACATGAGGTTTGAGAGTTAATTATCACAATATAACTATGAATTACACCGATTCGATCAGCATATACATACAAGATATGTTTGTCATAAAAAGTACAGGTTAACAATAAATATTGTTCAATATGCAAATCTGCACTAGAACTTGAGGAATATATGCATTTAAAACACACACACAATGGATAAGTTGGATTCTCAATTTTCTGCATCATTTCTGTTACTTACAGAGATCATTTAGAATTATTAACACAAATATATATCCGAAATAAAAACATAATTAAGAGTTCCAAGGGATCTTAATTAAATGACAGTTTTAACTTCTAAAAAAGTGACATTATTGATAACATTTTGTTAGTCTTCCTTTTTTGGAACTTTGCATATCTCAGCACTAAACAGTTAACAATCGTGTGCATCATGCTATCGCATTCCTGCTTAGTACTAGGCTAGAAGGTCCGACTCCAAAACCCTTGTAACAGCACAGGGGGTTTGTACATACTAGACTGACCTGAGTCTCTAGAACATATCGAATGCATAATGAATAAAACTAGACACCTACAATTAAAAAACTTTTAAACAAATATTTCATTTTTTCAAACAAGTATATGTATTGTACGGTGGTACATCTAGGACATGCACAATGCTATTTTATACATAAACTATCTCGAGCGCTAGACATAACTACTCGAGCGTTGGACATATTATCTCGAGCGCTCGACTTATTACCTCGAGTGTTCGAGATCGATCGCTCGACATACTATCTCTAGCGCTCGACATATTTTCTCGAGCGCTCGACATATTATTTCGGGCGCTTTACGTAGACTTTACGTATGAATCGCTTCATAATAGTATTGTATTGAAATCGTGATAGCAGGGGAGATGTACGGAAACGTGAATGGACCTCTCTTTGTTGTAATTAATGTAAATAAATCGACATAACTTATGTCGATTTGATCTACAAATTACTACACACAGCATCTTTAAAATGTCAACATTTCGTGATATATCATTATTTGTCGGAAAGCTTTACAAGTAAAGGGCGTTTAGCTTATAATTAACATTAACATATAGTTAACACTCCGACCTTCCAGGTAGGCGGCCGGGGGCCGATTCATGAAGCTGTCGTACGCATGGCTATTCAGAGAAAGTATTTTTCTCCTGTCCACACAACTCCAACAACCCAGGTGGAGTATAAATTGGTCTGGGATGGATGTTGCGGTATCTGTGCTGTAGCATTCAGGTGAGGTGGCACTATAAATGATGCCTTTGGAAGCTCGATCCCACTACAAATAGAACACACGTTACATTTCCAGCACACACGCAGGCTTAAACACATATATAGGGAAATACCAGCCAGGTGGCGTAGGATTAGTAGTTAGTAGTTGTGGCAAACCTGTCCCTACATGAAAGAATCTTTTCAAGTTTATCGGCATTGGGTTTTGTATTTCCATAATTAATCTCTTGAATAATAAATCTTATCCGGTTGTGTATTGTGGTAAGTGTAGTGAAATTTTGGTGGTCATTGGTGTTCAAGTTTCAAAGGTCAAATGTCACATTGAACAACTATTTCCTGATTGCGAAGTTGGGTATAAAGTTTTGAGCCGCTTCTTACTAGTACTAGTACTGCCTTCTCAACTCTGTTTTCACTCGAACTGCAAGAAAGCAATCGTACGACAACTAATATGATCTGGGGGGTTTTATTGTGTTGGTCAGTCTACAAAATTATGAAACATTCTTATTGTCTATGCATTGTTATGCCTTCTCAACTCATGTACAATCCGTCATAATGCAGCTCAGTCTCGATCTTTAAATTTTTGAAACGTTAAAAATTATAATGTAACGTTTAGTCATATAACCAATTAAGTCATAGATAAAACTCAACGTCCATGTGCAACGATACCAGAAGGTCAGAATTCAACGTCGAGGCAAGGGATATGACATCGAGGGTCAAGAATAAGACGTCAAGGGAGAGAGATAAGTGTTTGCTCGGTTGCCGTCGTATTTGCGCGTTGTTGCTTTCCCCTGTGTAATCATATATAAGAATGATAGGTTCCCTGGTGGACTATTTAATGACATTAGTTTAAGTTTGTTTTACGTTGTTATTGAAATAAAATAAAAATATAATAATAATACATATTTCTGTGAGAAAGGAAGGGTAAGACACATTTAAGATTTGACAGTAGAGAAGCTGGATGGTGTTGAGCATCAATTGAAAACGGCATTTTTTATCTCTTTTTTTTGTTTCGTTTTGACTGATTATCGATTCATATCCTCCAATTGTCGCCGAGTTCTGTAGGCATACATTTCACAAAAGGAAATATTATCTCTAGACAAGTCATAATGTCTGTTACAAGTAAGAAGTATTGCTTTGGTGTCCGCTAGTTGGGGACACAAAAATGACCAAAATCAATCTGCTGCACCCAATGCAATATATGGGATATTTATATGTCTTTCAATTTCTAGTTACCTTTTATTTCCTAGCGCCTTGCTTGGCAACACCTCACTTTTGGCTTGAATGTTGATCGTTCGCCCATTGGTGGAAGGCCATGGGTTCTGTTCTCAAGCCGGGACATACTAAAATCCTGAAAAATTGTAGTTGTTATTCCCTGCTTAACGTTCACCATTAAGGGGAATGGCAACAACTGGTTCACCCGTTGTCAGTATAATGTGACCGGGCGGAATGGTGTGCTTTGTGCCTTCGGCATGGCATTTCAGTGAGATATCACTATAAAGTCGACATTAATAAACACATGTACTTTGGTACAATAATAGAAGTAATAGCTCGTATTCCGTTTTTGTGTATTGCAGAGTTATCTTCTCTTGTGAGCAAGTATTGATTGTTACGTCATTGGTTTGTGTGAGAAAATTACGTCGGTTTCTCAAAAATTGATGACGTTACACTCACAAACAAATGACGTAACAATCAATACCTGCTCACAAGAGCAGATAATTCTGCAATACGCAAAGACGGACTACATGTATCATGATCCCATTTTAACTTGATTGTCATATCATACATTAAGCACAACATTCTTCTCCTCTAAAGAACATCAATGGAGTGAGAGGAGAGGGTAACATATCACATTCGCTGTCACGGTTGAAACACTGATTTTCTGTCAGGTCAAGATTTTAGTGTGGGTTTCAAACGTCCAATTAAGACGTCGTTGTACTATGACACACATTTGCATTACATATAAAAATGATATTACCCTCATATTAATTTTAGAAAATTGATATGTATAGGCTAATGTAGTTCCGAAATGTATTATGCACCATTTTGCGGTGTTCTTATTCGTGCGTACGATTCTAACGTGTTATGTACAATGCAGATAGGTTGAATAAGTCGAGCGTTCGAGAAGTTATGTCGACTGCTCGAGAAAATATGTCGAATGTTCGAGACAATAAGTCGAGCGCTCGAGATAAATAGTGCAGAAAATAAAAGTGTGCATGTCTTAAATGACCACCGTAGTATTGAGACCCAGTATATATTTTATTGCACATATATATCTTTAATGAATACAAATTCTGACTGCACAAAAAAAGAAGCTTGCTTAAAACTGATTTAATATCAAATAAATATTTTTGTCTATTACAATACATAATATTTCATACATTCAAAAACATGTACATTAAACCTTTGCACTTTTCTACGTACACTACATACAGAATTTGTGTGTATTTCAGAATGTAAAGGTTTTCAATGCTGTGTCATGCTTAACTACAATTCTTTACACTCCCTCTCCGTTAATTATTACATGATTGGACTGCCTAAGATAGTCATCATGTATGATTTTTCATGTAATACATTCCTATATTTGTTTGGGCAATATTGTAGACGATGCCAAAGGTAATCAACCAAACCAACAAGGACTACCGGAAAAGGTTGGCAGTACATGTCGTCAAATACCTATAGCAGGTAAATAATATATAGTTACGAGACTTACGAAACAAAAGGGCGTCGGTAAGATGTAAACATTAAGTGGATGCAGTTAGTATCGCATATTTACTGTACATTGGTCATTTCGTTTATTGAGGACGCATTAGCAGTAAATATTTAAAAAAAAAAAAAAAAAAAATATTCTAGAACAAAAAGTAATATTCGGGGACAGCTACAAGGTGCTTGTAAGTCCCTCTATAACATTGCAGAGGAGTTATCCTTAATATTTGTTTTATATAGCTTTTATATGTTTGATGTAGTTGCCAGAAACCATTGCGCATAAAAAAAAAAAATGACTGAAAGATTGCATGAAAGCACAAATATTGGTCCATGGAAGGATCGTCTTTTCCTTGGAGGAAACAAAATTAATCTGCTGCGCAATGAATATATTGTTATATTATCTTTACAGGTCTACTATTTAACCAATATCTACCGTGTAGATATGTATTACTTAATTTGTTTGCAGACCATGAGAGGCTTAAAATGAGAACAAAACAATCTACATATTGTTTCAGGATTTTGCGAAAGAGGCGAAGAGAGACGCAAACATTAAGGTAGGAACAAAGACGGAAGCGTACATGAAGAGGTGCGTGTTCGTGTGCTGGCTCATGACCGTTCAGGACCCCAAGGTTTGCATTTCAATGAAGCCACCAGAAATATTCGACGAGGATCTGTATAAACCCTACACAAAGAAAGGCAAGCGGCTTGACTATGTAGTATGGCCAGTCTTGCATCTTCACAAAGGAGGGCCTATACTTGGCAAGGGCGTGGCCCAAGGCAAACCATGATGCAGTAACGTGTGTGGTACTAGAAAACTGCTGAAAGACATGTGACAAGGTCTTTTATGAGAATATCAAGTTCAAGGAGTTAGGCAAGTACAGCGGACATTTCATTTTTGGGAAATGCATCAGGTGTTAGGCTTTTATTATATGAATTATTGTATAAAATATTTGTATTTGTAAATCATGTATATATAAAATGTCATATGCATACACATTTGTATCATATCGTCATGTGGATATATGATGCATTTGTATAACGAGTACATGAGTAAGGATGTGCTGTAACATTGTCACGCGAGACGCTCTCTAAACTCACCAAAAGGAACTGCGACCATCTTATGATTAGAACCAGTTATCCAAAGTTAAAATGTGCCAACCACTAAATCACACTAGAAGCTTTATTGCAATTTAAAAATGTAATGATATTATAATTTACTGTATCGAAGTTAATCAGACAAAAAGGTAAATATTGTCCATGTAAGGTCAGACTGATATTCAAATGTTCAGTGATCTGTATCTTTGATCCGTCTACTGTTCATTTAGGGGATCATTTTCTATGTAAATCTGTATATGAGCTGATAATTCGAGTTAAGCACGACAAAACTGAATAGATGACGAATATTTCATTGTACTCAATAGAACTTATTCCTGAAATATTCTGTAATATGCAATACTTTATTAAGCACCAGTATTCAAACTCGTCGATGATAGATTAATCATAAATTATACTAATCAACTGTTTGGTTGTCCTGCAGTTTTACAACTCCCGCCAAATAGTAACGTCCGTGGTGAAACATCACTTTTCGTCGGTTAGTAACCGTGCATTATAAGAAGATAATGCATGTGCTTTTAGGTATGTACCCGCCAACCATGCATGTGCAACGCTCTTAATAGCCCTTCCTTAACTAGTAAATCTAAACATACTTACTGTGGAATAAATTTTCTTTGTCTAGTTAGAGAACACCCATATATGTTGTATATATTTTAACATCTGTTAACACACAAAACAAAATCAACATAAACGCAACAAATGTTCCGCTGCGGTTACCATGAAAGCAACATTCTATAGTGGTTCGCTGCTCTTGATTGATAAAAATAAAATAAAATAAAGTATGACGCCGTTGTTTATTGTTTATATCGTCTGCAGAACTGAGAAACCAAATGATGGCTGTAAGTCAAGCTTGTGGGATTTGTCCGACTAACATCTGGAGATAGGACGAGTTGTACCAGGTTGTTTACTGTGGATCATACGAAAACCTTGATTAACTCTTTCAGTGTGAAATATCAATTCAGGTTAGAAAGCGGCACGACGCAGATTATATGATTAGATAGATAGTTTTATTGGTAAAGCATTGCATTAATACTTAAAAGTATAGTACATGGACAATCCATTTCCTATTTTACCGGGATACCACTGAAAGGTCGTAACCTAATTTCCACTGTGGTACTTAACATGAAACATATACATGTAATAGGAATAAACATATTGTAAACAGCTTTTACGAGTGTCTTGTATCATTCTCACATAAATATTGGCTATCGCATATCATCACAAGTATTCATAAAAAATTTCAGCATAAGATGTAGGATCTAAATTGTTAGACATCAATTTAATATCACAGTAATTCACGTTAGAATTCTTTATTCCTAACATAAAAACAATGTCTGTCTCAGCAAAATATGCAATTGAACGTTTGGATAACACTCATAACAAAATGATGTAGAGGTTGTCTATTAGGTAAACTAAATGTAAATGTAACCATCAAACAAGATAAAAGTATGTGCTTTATGTCAGAGCAATGCTGTAAAAATGCTTTTACTCTTCTTTGTTTTAACTTGCTCTGTTGCTCACAGACCTGACAGCAGAAGGTAAACAATTCCAAGGCTTGACACTATTTTAAAACATTTGTCTCTGTCTAACATTTTGCACAAAGTACCGAAAAGTATAGAGAAGAACTCCTTAATTGTATTGTATGTATGGAGTTCATTGACTTGTTCTGATATTCAACTTGGACATGTTTCGCCAGAAACATTAAACATGTGGATTATTGTTTAAACCTGTGGCTTAAGCCATAATACCAGACGACCGGCAATCATAGAAATAGCATAAAACAAACTAATTGCATATAATAGATGATACTTCCAAGATATCTCCGTTCTTCCAAAGATCCGTTCGCTGTTTTATACAGATTAAATTTAAAGCCGTAACGTTGTCCATGAGGTGGAAACTAGTCTTGCAATGTCTTTCTCAGGCTTTGTTTACGTGAGTAATGGAGGAAAACGTGTACCAATCAATGTTAAACAGTTTGTCGATGTATGTGTCCTTTCTGACGTTCTTCATAGACCGAACCTACAAGGTTTTATGACGTGTAAAGACGGAGTTGATGTGTGTCCTCGTACAATAAACAGCAAATTGATCACTGAAACTTGTATTTTAAGCACCGTTTTGACTTTTTTTTCATGGATGTTGCACAGAAATTGTTGAGATTCGGGTAAAACCAGTGAACATTTGTTTCACTTTAAGAGGATTTCCTTATACGGTGTAATTTTTAAAAATGAATTCCTTTATTCCCAGGACAAATGTTAAAGTATCTTTAGGGCCTTAACATCCCATGATTAATTCTTCAAAACTACTAAAACCTCAAAACCAATCGTTTGGACTTTTCTAACAAACTGCTGCAAGGATTTATTTGAATCTTTATCCGGTCAGATTTAGTTTTGTTATTTGGTCTTTTGTTGTAAAGCCACTTCTAACGTATAAATAAACTCCATTTCCGTTTTCTGTGTCTGTCGTTCCGTATTGTAGTGAAGATGTTTATGTGTAATTCAATTTAATGCATTTAAATACAATCGCATTAGGCAAAGGCATCGCCTTTTGCAGCCTTTTCCACCATTTTTCTTCTGATTGTATAGGACAGCAGATACTGTGTTCTCAAAACAAAACAAACCAGAAATATGTCAAAATGACATGAAAGTCATCCCATCTCCTGTATGATCATTTTCAGTACATGTATAATAAATCATTGACAAAGCTACAACTGACAGATGTCCACCTAAACAAATTGTATCAATCAAAATGGTCTAACAATGACCAGCTGTACATGCAAACACATGGATATAATAAGAAAGCATGTGGTTGATTTTCTTGAAGAAAATTAAATTTCTATGTTTTATGACTATAAAACACAAACACTGCAAATGATTTCATTTCGCAGTACACAGTGATGTCGTGGGGCTAAATTTACCTGAAACAATTGCTCTAGAAACAGTTATCGCCAAAGTGTTATACATTGTCGACAGTAACTTGAATAAGAGCCCCTCGTTGACGTTTTCGCCAAGAGTAGTTTTAAATAGCTAATCATGTTTTATTTTCGCTATTGGAGCCACACGAACGCTCTTCAAAGTGTTCGGCAACAGATGTCAAAATCATACCCACTGGGGTTCCCCAAGGGGTGACTAAAAACATCTACCTGGTTAATGTATAGTGTCTGATTCAGTATATCAATATTGAATAATCTGAATATACTATTTGTCAAAATCCTGCATCATTTCTTCTTATACTCACCAGCTGCCTTTGTCTGGACTAGATATCGTCCTGTGTACGTTATATATATAATATAAAGGTGTTTTATATCAAATTCATAATAACATTATTGACAATTATCTCTATTTCAAATAAAAAGAAAATTGTATACATGTATATATCAAATCTTTGCAGAGTTCGGTCTATTATTTCACGAAATCACCGAGCGAAAGGGGTTGAGGGGGTAGGGAGTTCTAGTGATAGTGCTTTGCTTATCAAATATTTAAAGCGTTCCATTGGGCAATGTGTTTACCGCCGAACACAGAGTCGTAAAGACTGGTTTCTCAGTTTAAATACGAGAAATGTGAACAAACAGGATGTACTGTACCAGTAAGTTTTAGGTAAGATTACTTAGGTCAATTGCCTAACGTTGTGGAGCAAAATTCCATGCATGTACCAGGTGCGTAGCTGCAGCTTTCATAACAGACATTCCAAAATCCTTATATGGATTTCTAAATATTTTATTCGATTTCGAGAAAAAAAGTAATATTGTTTTCAAAGGCCTTCAGATAACAACGCAGAGCTTCCTGATTCCCATTTTTCAAAGGGCGGGGGAGAGGAGAATGAGGAATTTAAGATAAAAACTCTATATCCCCCCCCCCCCCACCTCAATTCAACAATGATGGTACATTTGTAGTGTATATATACCTGTAACAGGGATAAATGATAGTTAATTCCCCTAATACTTGCACATGATATGTATCGTAATGATTTTGTAATTAATGAGATGAAAAATTATTAAACATCTAGATGTAGAATAGTGTACATGTAATGCAATAACATGATGTATAATCCTGTAATGTAATCGAGAATAAAGAATAAGATAAGCATATCACTTATAATTGTAAATTATGCAACGTTTTCTTACACCATTTACTGAATATGCAGTCTAGAATATAATCATAACGTTAATAACTCTGACTGGAACAAAGTTTAAGCTTTAGGGGTCTTCTGCTTATTAAAGGAGGAGTTGTCTGATTTACACTGAGCTTTGTGTAAAGAGCACGGTATTAAACAGAGAAGCTCGAGGACAACCAAATTGAACCTTGGTCGACAGTGGCGGAGTCTAATCCTGTAACGAATTGGGGCCGTAATCAACCCTCGGTGATCATTTTGTTTAAGTTTTTATACATGGTATCACTCTTTTTCATGGAAAGTGTATATGTACATGTATCATCTACCAGTGCTACAACTCAGCCAGGTTGTATCAGCAGTGCTGTGACGAGTTCGTGTTACGTTGTTAGTACAGGTTTGGGATGTATCTCGAGTGTACCTAGCAGTTCATGTTGTATTGGCGGTAGCTGTGTATGGAAAGAGAAGGAATATCAACGATATGATGGTTCTAAGTCAATTGAAGATTTCTTCGCTCATCTTGACCAGGTCTCTTAATGAAATCGAGTGAGTGATTCAGAGAAAGCCTCCCAATTAGCTACGTCTTTAGATGGTAGTGCTAGAAGTATTCTGTATGGTTTGACTTAAGAAGCCGCTAGGTAGTTTTGCTCAGATCAGAGTTGCTTTATTGCATCGGCTTGAACCTTCAGGTTTAGACGCAGTTTACAAGAATAATTTCAAGTACAGAGTTTATCTTGCATCTAACACCTTGTCAGAGTATGGTTTTTGCTTGGAAGATTTGGCTAGGGAAAGGTTATTGTCAATATGATTCTGGCTCTCGAGTGGAACTTATTGTTGACCAATTCATAGCGGGCACAGAAGACTATTCATTTAGGAAACATGTTTGTTTGCACCAACCAATGTAGCAGGACGAAACATTGCGGCTGGGTTACCAGAAGGAAGGTTTAGTAAAAAGTTTTGGCCCGGGGAAACGTCAAGTCTTAAAGGTGTCAATCTGTTGATTTCCAAAGTAGAGGCATTTGCCAATAACACGTTGTGTCCTGCAACTAGGAAACAGTCTCATAGAAAACGGATATGCTACAGTTGTAGAGTCATATGATTGGTCGGTGTCCTAATAGTGTTACTGATGGAGTTTAATTGTTTTGATGAGCTGGTATTGGTCTTCGGAAAGAAGATTTACTTATTATATTTGGGTCCAAGACTGATTACGTGTCAAACTTTTAGTTGTTACTATTTATTTTGTTAGAGCCTCTATAGTCATGATGTTGAATGTGGGATTTCATATGTTTGCGCTCTTCGTGAACTCTAATCTGTATGGTAAATATGTTCTATGTTGGCAATAATAAACAATTCAGTTCTTTGTTACATGTAACTTTGTATTGACCTTTGTGGCCATGCTATTATGTGTGAACAGCAGTTAATTGTGTGCTTACTTTGAAGGTCTGTGTTGTATATAGGGTTATTATCAGTTGCATCAGATTGAGAGTAATGTGGTCCTACAGTATTGTCTGGTTAAGTGGTAAGTTTTAATTTGTACGTTTGGCGGACAGTGAGCTGTATTGTGGAACTTGTTTCACATGCTGTAAAGCGAATCAAATTATGTATGGTGGAACGTGTTCCTTATGGTGGTTCATATGCTGTATATCGAACTGTAGGCTATGAGAGAAATATTATGAAAAAA